CCATCATCACCATCATGATCATCTCCGTCATCGTTATCATCACCATCACCATCATCATCATGATCATCACCATCATCATCTTCCTCCTCCTCATCATCATCATCATCATCAGTTTCCCCTTCATCTTGCCCTGGCTAGAAGAGTCCCTTAGGCCAAGCCAATGGCATATCTTTTTGATAGATTTATTTCTATTTGGTTTCGATGGATTGGATGACTAGCAATTTTAATTGAATTTACGTAATCTCAAATTAGTCAACTACTATGGCCAGACCTTAGTGCCTTGCGATGCCTTTGTGCCTTTGTGGGGATTGTCATTGTGACACCCTGGGCTCCGATAGTGTTATGCTCAATCAATGGGAATCAGATGGCGAGGAAATGGAGCTTAAAGGCACCTGACAATTTTTTGGCCCAGTAAAGAGTCCTGGTGCTAATTTATTGGAATGGCATTGGACACTTGGTTCGACCACATGTGGGGGCTTGCTGATAGAAAACCGCGTTGGGATTGGGGGTTGGAATTATTCAACCAGCTTACCTAGCACCCATGAAATCCCTAATCACAATGGTTGAATACTTTAGACTTGCCTCTTGCCCGATAAACCATTGCTTTTTTACTGCCCCCAATGGGCCTCCAGTCAGGATAACCCCATTTTGGACACCCCATAATCATACAGGGTAATTTGAATATAGCATGGGTTAAACAGCTCCTCAATTAAAATATTCCCATATTCCAAGTATCACACCATGGGCGAGCCCATGGGATTCCACACATCATTGCCTGCTCTCTGGACCTGCTCGCTGGGTTGAATGGATTGGGAATTGAACAGGATTTCTTCAGGGTCCCCTAGATATGAATTGAATTCAAATCCCACGAGGTATGGTTATAATTGGGGTGGGATTTGGGTCAGCAGTAGCCTCTGCCATACCTCTGCCAGGACCGCACAGAAATACACAAAAATTAAAAAACCAGGAAAGTCCGACAGGCGCTGATAAGGAAATCAGTGCAAGACGGATAGGGTCTGGCAGGCCCGTATCCCCTGTGCACTCCAGAGCGCTACCGAGAGTGCCCAGCCCCTCCTGCACTTCCTTAACATCATAGGGCAAAAATTACGTATAGGGCCTATGCACTCCAAAATCCATGGTTCGTACAATGGTGGTGATAGGCTGGGTGCACTCCAGAGCGCTACCGAACGCACAGGGGATAGGGCCTGTCAGACCTATCCGTTATGCACTGACTTCCTTATCAGCGCCTGTCAGACTTTCCTGGTTTTTTAATTTTTGTGTATTTCTGTGCGGTCCTGGCAGAGGTATGGCAGAGGCTACTGCTGATCCAAATCCCACCCCAATTATAACCATAACTCGTGGGATTTGAATTCAATTCATATCTAGGGGACCCTGAAGAAATCCTGTTCAATTCCCAATCCATTCAACCCAGCGAGCAGGTCCAGAGAGCAGGCAATGATGTGTGGAATCCCATGGGCTCACCCGTGGTGTGATACTTGGAATATATTGTTATGGGAATATTTTAATTGAGGAGCTGTTTAACCCATGCTATATTCAAATTACACTGTATGATTATGGGGTGTCCAAAATGGGGTTATCCTGACTGGAGGCCCATTGGGGGCAGTAAAAAAGCAATGGTTTATCTGGCAAGAGACAAGTCTAAAAGTATTCAACCATTGTGATTAGGGATTTCATGGGTGCCAGGTAAGCTGGTTGAATAATTCCAACCCCCAATCCCAACGCGGTTTTCTATCAGCAAGCCCCCAAAGTCATGTAGTCGAACCAAGTGTCTAATGCCACTCCATTCAATTAAGACCAGGATTCTTTACTGGGCCAAACAAATTGTCAGTTTGATTCCCATTGATCGAGCATAACAGTATCGGAGCCCAGGGTGTCACAATGACAATCCCTACAAAGGCATCGCAAGGCACTAAGGTCTGGCCATAGTAGTTGACTAATTTGAGATTACGTGAATTCAATTAAAATTGCTAGTCATCCAATCCATCGAAACCAAATAGAAATAAATCTAACAAAAAGATATGCCATTGGCTTGGCCTAAGGGACTCTTCTAGCCAGGGCAAGATGAAGGAGAAACTGATGATGATGATGATGATGAGGAGGAGGTGGAGGAAGAGGATAATGATGAGGATGGTGATGATGATGGTGATGATGATGATGGTGATGGTGATGATGATGGTGATGATGATGATGATGTTGATGATGATGGTGGTGATGATGATGATGATGAGGGGGGTGATGATCCTGATGATGGTGATGATGATGGTGATGATGGTGATGATGATGGTGATGATGATGATGATGATGGTGATGACGATGGTGATGATGATGATAATGATGACGTTGATGATGATGACGATGATGATGATGACGATGATGATGATGAGGAGGAGGAGGAGGAGAGAAGGAGGAGAAGGAGGAGACGGAGGAGAAGGAGGAGAAGGAGGAGAAGGAGGAGGATCGCTGCAACCGCTGAGGCCCCGGCGGTGGCTCCAGAAGCCGCCGGGCGCCACAGCAGCGGCAGCCAGCGGCGGTGGCAGTCGGGGGTTATATGATTTCCCATACTTATTTTTTAATTATACTATAATAGGTTTAAAATTTATGGGGTGATTCCACAATTGGTTGTGTTCATTAATTTATTAATGAATTTGCCAGGGCATTCATTAATTTACCCTAATGGGCTATGTAGAGAAAATGAACGGTTCATTTTCCTGATATTAACAGGTGATTCTTATAATTATAGCCTATAATATAGCCCTATGGAATTCCTAAGGAACAATCAACTGTTTATTTTCTCAATCATAAAATCATCTTGAGTAAACCCCTTAGCACCTCTGATCTTATCATTGTGAGTTCTAGATATCCTCATGCCAAGATATTACATAAGATATTTTCTCAATCCAAATTAATCATCATAATAAAGAGTACCGATGATATTACATAAGGATCATAAATTACCGAAGTTCGATAATAATAATAATGAACATGAATTATTGGAATCATGTTGAAACAATAGCGGTTGTGGATGGAATCCAATGAATATTCCCAAAAAACATCTTGCCACTTTTTGACTTCCTCAACCTCTGGCCAGTATAGATAGAATATCCTCTAGAACCATGAAAAGACTGCATTTTTAAAGGATGCTTGGAATTAAGCATGTATTTGTGGTGCTCCCTGCCCCTTCCTCCAGATCTGCCCATCCAAAGTTCATTCTTGGAGCTTTTTGAAATCAAATTTTAAAAGGAAAATTGCATTAGAAAAGTAGGAATGCAAGATTTTACCACCCAAAGTTGAAATCGCAGGTTTTTGCAAAGAAATTTTTAAAGGAACACGGGATGAGAAAAGAAGGAACCCAAGATCGACCATCCGAAGTTCAGTCTTGCAGGTTTTTGAAAAGAGAACTGTGAAAGGAAAAGGAGATGAGAAAAGCTGGAATCCAAGATCGAGCATCCAAAGTTCATAATTGAAGGTTTTTGAATGGAAAACTGTGTTTGAAAGGAAAAGTGCATGAGAAAAGTAGGAATCCTCCATCTTACCATCCAAAGTTCATTCTTGCAGCTGTTTGAAAAGGAAATTTTGAAAAAATAGAAGGTTTTGAAAAGGAAAGGAAAAAACTACACATTTTGAGCATCCTGGAGTAGATTTTGGAATATTCTATCTAGGGGGTCCGAAGATATAGTTTAGTATTGGGTCAAAAAACCCTGGGTTTTTTCAAAATAAAAAACACCCCCTACGAAACTGGATTCTATCTACTCCAGGATTATTATATATATATATATGTACACATGTGTTTTGTTTTCCCTACTTGGTTTTTATAACACCTTCAGAAGAAACTAATAACATAATCCTCTTGAACTAAACCCATATCCTGATCTAGACTCTACCGCCGCTCTATCCATAAATCTGGCACAGGTGCTGCGCGCACTTCTCCAGAGGATGCCAGGTAAGTCGCGGGATCCACGGGCGGTGATGAGAATCATTGGACTTGAGTAAGGGACAAATGGTGAGTAAGGATACCACATTAAATGGAGTTTATAAATTGGATAACTATAAATTTCCAGAGGATGGTTTATGGTATCACAAACCATTGGATTTTATAAATTGGTTACCCTCTGGAAAATTGAACATTTTGCTATTGAACATTGCCCATGTATAGATTAATTACCACATGGTGATGTTCAATAGCCATGTTAAATTACCAGAGGGTAATGGTGATGAATGGTGATTCATGGCTTTGTTTGAGGTGATTACTGTTTTCTTCACTAATGGGAAACACATCATTTCGAGAATCCATAGAGGAGAATTGGTTTATGTTTACAATGTGGGGCCCCCCAGTGATGTGAACGATGGTTTATAAACCCCATGAATACTATAGTTATAGGTACCATAAACCATAGTGAAATTGGAGTTTTGTTCACCAACTGAACGCGATTCCGAACTGGGGCCCCACTTTCTATGGAATGATGATTTCAGATCAGTGGATTATTATTGGTATTTATTGGTTACAATTCAGGCAGAATCAATCGAACCAATCTAACCATCTAACCGACCGTTAGTTACCCCATCTAACCATCAAGAAATCCACCATAGTTATGTCTGTTCGTTTATAAGCCCCATTAACTAGTTCGATATAACCCCCCCATTCATCAACCCAACAGATGTTCACCAACTGAGTAAGCGATTTAGCTCACTGGGGCACCACCATCTTTATCAAGAAATCCAGGGAATTTTCCATCCGGGAAGCCCATCCAATGATCATCCAATCACAGGATTGTGGTTTTCCCATCATTGGGAGCCTCTTTTTATTCAACTGAATATGGGAGAACAGGGGGTAGTAATTATACCTAGTTTATCTAGTTTGATATGGCGAATAGATGGGAATAGAGGAGGCTTTTGTGAAAATTTTCATGGGTGTTGAAGTAAGAAAATCACAACATATGGGAACATGATGTGAAAGCAACACCTTGGGATTTAACCGACAGGAGGAGCATTCGGAGGCCAAGTATGATTGCATGGCGGGCTACTCCAATTGGAGAAGCGGTTGGTCTTTAGACAAGAAATCCTGGCCGGGGAGCCTTGCAAGGGTCGGCAAGGGTCCTTGTCGTTTGTGGCCTTTCTTAAGGCCTGGTTTTTTTTTAATTTTCCGAGGAAAACCAGGACTGGGAATCTATATATAGAGGATATAGATGTTAGTTTTGTTGGGGTCCTTACGCAAATTCAAGTAGGGTGGGGGATGGCAAGATGACATGATGAAAGCAAAAACAAGATTAGACTGCATGGCCAGAAACTGGTGTTGTTTAACCTTTTTGGAATGAGAAACAACCATTTACCCTCTGGTAAACTAACATAGCTATTGAAAACGGCTATTTATAGTAGATTTACCAATTAAAAATGGTGATTTCCCATAGTTACGTTAATTTACCGGAGGGTATTTGGATGAATGATAATGGCCTCACTCTGACGTCACTTGACTGATGGTTCTGAAGGGGAGTCATCCCGAAATAGCCAATTTTTTCATCTATTATTAGGTCAGTGAATTGTTATGGTTCGGCTAGACTTATCCTTCTACAAATGAAATTCTTCTTATATCAACATGTCACCAAGTGGATATGAGCAAGTAAAGACATGGAAAGCTACTCGGCCTTCACTTACCTCTGCCACTTCGTCACGCACGCAGCACTTGGGTCTTGAAAATTATCCCAAATATGTAGGGCAAGTCCAACTAGCCGAAGCATGGCATTGTTTCTTTACTTTGTCTATTTTTTCCCATTAATGGCCCCCAAATGGTAGAACTTGTTAACTCTGGTGCATCAATGGGTGTTCTCCAAGATATTCCAAGATGTATGTCTACATAAAACACAACAGTGACGCACCCGTGGCCTTTCCACATCCTTTCCCAATGTTCTTGGACCACCCTGCTGCCGCAAGGTGCTGCGACAAGGAGCAGCGCGGTTGTGTTTGAGTGGCCGCACGGCGCACCTGCAAGGTGGTGTCCGACTTCATGGAGAAGTTGGCACAAGACGGGGCCCCCAAGATAGCGTTCAGTTGCCCCCAAGATATATCGAACTAGTATTCATGGTGTTTATAAACCAACAAACATAACTAGTGGCTTAAGTATGGTTCATGGTGATGACCCCCAAAAAAATAGGACTTAAGTCCAATCGAAGGGATCCAACCCAAAAAACATCTTGGGATGAGAAACAACCATTTATTTGGATGAATGGAACAAAACTAGGTGGTCGGTTGGTGGTTTCAAGCATGATTTTTATGTTCCATTTCATATATGGGATGTCATCCTTCCCACTGACGAACTCATATTTTTCAAGATGGTTATTGCACCACCAACCAGATCAGAATGATGATGAAATCCCATAGTTTTTTTAAATATTCCCATGTGTTTGATGTTTGAAATCATGAAAAAAACACAGTCAAACCATATCGGATGAGACTTTAAGACCTCACAAAAATGGACATGTTGCGGGCTGCGGTCTCGCCTGCGGATCATGAGGGCGCGGTCTCGCCCGTCAAATCATGCGGGAAATCGTGGGTCGCGGAAAATTGCGCGATCTGCGGTTTGCGCGATCCAAGGTGTTTTGGCCTACTGGTTTGCCAATGAAACCAAAGTATAAAGCTATGGTTTATGCGGGAAAAGTATGGAACAGTTAGGTATTTCAAGACAGATTTGACAAGAAAAAATCTGTGGTGCTTGAGATTACCCAAGGATCAACCAGTGAACTCATCCCGCAGAGTATGGCCAAACACTGTGATTTGTTGCACTGCTGGAAGATGGAAAACACGAGCCGAGCCATTGAGCCGTTAGAGATACCATAACTGTTGCTGGGTACAGTTATGGCCATTAACAGTTATTGTAAACCCCGGATTTTGCTAAACCATGGTTTATTAAATTTAATAATTTAGGGGGTACTCCTCCAAAAGTCATAATCTGATACTTAAATGGTATCCCCTCAATTAAACAGCCGTTCGGGGTTTATTAATCCAGGATTGACATTATAAATGGAAATATAACTCCTATAATCTAAGTATATTAGGTTATATATCAATATAAACTCATTTATAACTGTTAAGGGCCATAATGGGCCATAACTTTATTTGGAGGTTTGACCAGCTGATCCAATAAGCTGTTCCCTGGTCAGACCCCCTGCTGGAGTCTGATGGAAAAGTGCGGTGAAAGACTGGGATAACGCAAATGGCTTTGTCTGGAAATTGGGTAATTATTCGTTTTGTTCCATATAAACAATGGCCATAAACTGCATGGCCCATTCTTAGACCAGTCCATTCAATATTTGTGCCATTGTCAAGTTAGTTGGATTGGAATAATCAACCCAGGTTCATAGAGGACCGTGAGCCATGTACCATATCAATATGTTTTGACCCTAGCACATTTGGTTGGTGTTATTTTTTCAGGACCTTCTTGTTTGAGATCATGATTCAAGCTGCCTTTTTTCAGGCTGGGTGAACGCAGTAACTCGTTGGTGTGTTTCCAAAAATACCCCTAGCAACTCAGGTTTTTTTGGTGTTTCCTTGGTGCTTTGGCAAGAACTATCCCAGCATTCTGGTGGAAGAACATCATGAAGTCGGAAGCCCTTGGTTTGCTCGCCTACTTTTTTTAAATTCCACCCATAAAGTTTGATATATATATATATATATATGTGTGTGTATTATATATATATTAATATATATATATATATAATCTTTATATGTGTTTATTTATATATTACATTTATATCTCTACATCATTCAACCCAAGTCAGTGAAGCAATTTCCAAGTGCAGTGCTTGTCATCTGAAAAAAGCCCCTCCAATTTTTCCAGATTTTTCCATGACAGTTTTCAGGGGATTCATCAGGGTTTTTTCCATGTGCCTTAGAGAGTAAGTCCCATCCTCCAGCATCCAACGCGTCTAACGCCTCTCGAGGCGTTCCTGATGTAAACCTGCAGAGAGCGATCTCCATCCGAGAGGAAAAATCATCGACTTTGGAAGAACATTTTGGGGATGGCGAAAAAAACCATCTGAAAAACTGTTTTTTTTGGGAAGACACATCCATTAACAAACTATTTGTGGGTACCTAGGCTACCCACAACATTTTTGGCTGGCGATGTGATCCTAGGAGCTGCTGTCTGAGAACCCCGTACCCTCTTACCCTCCAGCGAACGTTTACATAGGCATATGGAAGATGATGGAAACCATGGCCCAGAAATACTTCGATGATCGACCCGTTTTTTTTGGGGTGCGTTTTTTCTTATAGCAAACCGTGAGATTACCAGAGAGCAACTGAGATCACCAGAGGGGTTTTTCCTCGGATCCCTTCAGTCGCTAAATCGTTTTGGTGTCTGGCTTCTAACCCTTTTCTGATGGACTAAAAATGGGGCAATAAAAAAAGGGGCACTGACCAAAGTACTACCCTCTGGAAAACTAACAGTTTGCTATGGAAAATCACCATGTTCAATAGGGAATTCAGCTATTTCTATGGCCATGTTCAATGGCTATGTTAGCCATTACCAGAGGGTAACTTCCGCCAGTAGAATTTCGTAAAGCGGGCACCAAGAGCCCATCACCTGGAGTCGCAGGGAAGGAGGTCGCAGAATTCGCTGTAGGCGGTCAACGGCGTGTGTGGCTGCTCCAATGTGTGCTACCAAAAAGAGGAGTTGGCTGCTGGGTGGGGCCATTTCTATCGACCTCCGAAAACCAAGAAATCTACTGAAGGCAGGCCCCATGTTGCCATGATTTGCGTGAACCACTGAGAAGGCCACATCTTCAGATGGCTAATGATGGTAGATCGTGGCATGTGTTTCCAGTGGCTAGGAAGCTATATAGAGCTATATCCACTACGAATTGAATTTCCCAACAGGAGGAGACTCCTTCGGATTACAAGCCACAAAAATGACCGTGGCATATGCAATCAGTTCCTGCCCAAAGTGTGGCTCCGTTTGCTTGGGGCAGCAGCTCGCCCTCAGCCTTAGCTGAATTTTTGGGACGGCAATGGAGAGAGATACCAACTTGGATCTCTGCTCCAACAACTGAGCCACCAATAGAACTGGGACTTAACTGTGGAGATAAAGACAACTGGGGTTCTTACTAACATTGAATTAACATATGCCAAGATGAACATATAAATAGCATTTCACCTTGATTGAATATAACTTTCCACCCAGGGATAAACTGCTAAATCAAGCTATTTTCAATAACGCTGGATAGAAAACCATCTTCCAAATCAGCTTTCACAATTCCCATGACATCTCCGTGTTTCTACCCGAAAGCATCCAACATTTAATCGGAGGACAAGACAAGACGGGTATCCTGGAATGTCGATTAAACATCCACCATTTATAGATGATTGGCCTTTCAAAAACCTCCATTTGTTTAGGGGAAATTTCATTGCCATGTTTGATTACTGGAGGGTACCCACCACATGGATCCATAGGGTCACAAACTATGTTTTCTATGTTTGATGATTGCTGCTGGTCACACGTCTTGAAGAATCTTGAAGGTATATATATATTATGTATTGTATATATATATACAGTATATATGTGTGTGTTGTGTATATATATATATATTTATATTTATATTTATATTCGATTATATACATTTACATATTTGCGTGTAGGGGTGTGTGTGTGTGTTTGTGCATATGAGTTGATCCTCACATCTGCCTGTGCCACAGCGTTGTTGATCAAAGTCGGGCCGACGCGAGCAGAAGGAAATTTCATGACTCTCAGATCGGTCCTAAGCCTCCAATGCTACTCACATCATTTTTCTTCCATCTCATTTCTGGTGAAACATGGACAACAACCACTCCTCCAACACAGACCTTGAGAATTAAGAAGTTCTAGGTGGAAGTATTCTGCCGACCCCCAAACACACAAGGTCACATGATGGTCATTTGTTTTTGTTTTTATATGCTTCAAAAGTCCATTTTGACAACATTTTCTGGATGGATTGTAGCATATTGTAGCCATACGCTTAGACATGAACCCTGTATATGGGATGGCTGGTGTGTATAAACTCCACAATTTACCTACCAAAAAGGAAACCTGTTCCTCGAAGAAAATCTCAACCGGCAAGTTTCATGGGTCTTGCGAACAGCGAGCCTTGCAACAGCTTCCATCCCAATCCACGAGATCTCACGTGTCGGCTCACGTGTTGCCCGCGTTGCGCAAGCGTGTGACTTGCCGTCACCGGGTGGTTTTGGAGAACTGTTCGCTGTGGTGAATGACCCGCTGACTGACTGGATAGGTAGATTGACCAACAAAATTGGGGGTTAACAGGTTTTAAGCCACCAAACATGGTATAGTAATGGTTGGTAAATGTCCCGCATTTTTTTTGGAACAACACTTGACAAGCCGTATCTGGAGATTATAGATTATAAAATCATATAGGATCTTTTTGGTTGGGCAATTTGTGGAGAGTTGGAACATTTAGTGAATTGACCCCAGTTAAGGATCAAACATCGGCAAGTGAAGCAACTTTTTGGAGATGGGCAGTTGAGGGAGAGGATGAGTTAACACTGGATGAATGAACCCCGTTTACGGCTGTTTAATTGGGAGGCTACCGTAAAAATGTACCAGATGATGACTATTGGAGGAGCAGCCCCATGGTGTATTAATCCGAGGTTGACATTAAGCAAGAAGATATGGGGCAGCTTTGGACGGATATTCACTGCAAGTTAGTCTTTTGCGGATTGAATGGCATCAACCAAACCAGCTATTTTTGGCAGGGCATCTAAAATCGGTGAAAAGTAATCAGATGTTTGGCAATATGATTTATAATATCCCATAGAAATGAGGTTTAGAGCTGGGAAAAAACATCTATAAATGGTGGATGTTCAATTGCAATGTTTGATTACCAGGGTGTAGTTGAGACACGGAGGTTCATCCCTTTGATGGTCCTGTGACATGGTGCCAGGTATGCATCAAGAGACCTTGCAGCAGGACATATTAGATACATATATAATTAATACCCCCGTCCGGGGTACCTGAATAGAATGGG